TTCGTCGCGCAAAACCCTTTGTCCAGTACATGACCAGATTCAGCCATGGCTCTCTCCCTTTGTCTCGACCGTTATCGGCGAAGAAAACTCGTTAATTTCATTTTGTTTATGAGTTAAACTTCCTCTGCGTCTGCTACATTCGTTGGGTAAGTATTTTTCGTCGTTAGTTTAAAGTAGTATTGTAAATTCATACTAACGTCATTAATTTTGTTGTATATAGGGATATTATATGTGATTAACGATTGGTGGAGAACGATTTAGAATGTATTTTCGTCGTTTTATAATTTAAATATATAAAATTAATTACATTATGTTTATATTGATTTGTGAAATTATATTTATATTATGTTGTTCAATTTTTTGCACGTCGATGTACGAAGTTAATTGAAATTAACTTCGTACATTTTATTTTTGGTAAAACTTAGTTCCCGTTCGAGATTAGTTGGATGTCACGCATGGATGCTAAAGTATGACTGCGGTCCAATTAATTCTTGAATTGTCCTATTATTTGGACAGTTTGGAAATACATAGTCGTGTCACGTAATTTACAGCTACAGGATTAGGTTTCGACTGTGGAGATTTTGGTGTCATCTCTGTACGTTCTTTGGGTGGTACGTAGGTATTTTATACCTACGGTACACCTCAAGAACTGTACCGAGATGCTGCCGAAATCAATCCACGTCGAATTCTAATATTATGTAGTCGTAAATTACGTGACATGACTATGCATTTCCGAATGAGATAGGGCCCTTACCGGAGGCATAAGGTGACATACTGAATTTGTACGAATACAACATTATTGTTGTATTGTGATTGTGGTTTCAGGAATGATGAGCAGGAGGTGGATACAAAACTCGAATAGGTGTGCAGACGAATACTTGGATGGAATCGAGGATTTTATTGACTTTGCACGGACACACAACCCATGTGCAACTAGAATCTGGTGTCCTTGTAGAAGGTGTAACAACATGTTGTGGGAGCTTGAGGGGCGCGAGGATAGTTGGGAGTGGCTCTACGGTCATTTTCAGGAGGCCGATTATGTGGTAATTTTTTTTACTAAGTTGAAAATTATTACACGTTTCTTATTAATGTTTATTTAATTTTTTATATTTCATTTGAATTTCAACTAATACGTTTTATTTTTTTGTATAACAGAAGATGACCAAAGCAAATAAGGGCAATAGAGAGAAGAAGACTCTTCTCCACCATTCAGGTTCCAGGCCATTCTCCTATAGGATGGAGGCGGGTAATAATAAAGTCATTTTTATTTAATTTTTAATATATCATTACTATTAATTTAATTTTTTCGTACTAACATTTTATCTTCTCTTGTTCAATTTAGGGGGGGTCCAAATTCCCAGAGATTGACGTCTTCAGTGACGTTTATGTTCGACCTGGGAATGAGTTGGCGGAGTCCCTTCATGTAAGTAGTCTTTAATTTTAATTATTATTTTATGCGTTCAAGTTTCATGATTATTATATCAATGTTTTAATTAATATTTTATGTTATGTTAAACAGACGATCATGATGGAGAAGAGCCAGTTGGTTCTTCAGGAGTCCGCCTCCCAACTACCTCCCGATAAGTCGCTCGAGTCTGTGGCTCCTCCACCAGATGCAAGGTTTCAAATCTTGATGGAAACCTTGGATCAGACTCTCGGGAGACGGCCAGGGACATACTGTCGAGGGATGGGGAATGCCCGGCGGTGGGAACCTAGACCCCGTTCCTCATCGCAGTCAAGCAGTCAGGTGACTGCTTTGACAGCAAAGGTTTCCACCCTTGAAACCTAACTCGCCGAGTACAGTAGTCAGATGTCACAGATGTCACATATTTTGGCATTGATTATGCCCCTGTTGAAAATGTCCAAACCTTCAAGCCGCATTTACCAGACGATCAAGTTGATTTTGGAACAATTTTTTTTAAGTTTTTGTTTTCTTAATTAAATTTTAAATATTTCTCTTGTATTATACATTTATATTATTTTATAACTATTTATTTTCTCTTCATTACATTTTTTTTTATTGCAATTTTATTTTATTATCAAATAATCAACCAATTTTTTTTTTTTAGAATTTAACAAAAGAAACATAAAATTTAATTTTTTAAAAATATATTTTATTTTTGCGCGACGAAACGTTTATCGTCGCGCAAACTCACGTTTTTACAATATAAAAAACCGTAAAAACAAATTTTAAACAATATAATTTATGTTTGTGCGACGGAAGGGTTCGTCTCTCTAAATATGTTTGGGCGACGCAAATTATTCGTCGCCCTATGCACTCGCGACGCTTGTGCTTGCGTCGCGCAAAGAAAATGGCGACGAACAATTATGTCGTTCCTGAACTTTTGGTGCAACGAAGGATAACTGTCGATATTATTGCACGACGAATACAATTATTTCCGTCACGCAACGTCTGTTTTCACGATCTTTACGCGACGAAGTTTTTGTCGCACAACAATTTGTGCGACCCAATATTACTTTGCGCGACAATCTATTATTCGTCACGCAAACTGTAAAATGTAGTAGTGCAACTAAGCAAGTTACCTAATATAACTTAAAATCTGATTTATTGTATTTTTCGGATTCCAAAACTATCCCTATTCATAAGTTAATTTGTTATGGGGGTGTAACTAATCACACCCGTTGGATTGGAAATATCTCCAAATAGTTGTAATGTAGGAACTAATTTAGACACTTATTTGAAATTAAATATTAAATTCCACATTAAAGTATTAGTAATCTATTTTACGACTAGTAATCTATTTTTGTATTAATGGTGTTTTCCTTCTATGAATTACGATTAGTAATCTATTTAAAGTATTAATAATTTAAATTCAATATTAAATTTAGGAATTAATGTTGTTTTCTTTTTAATTTTTTATATTTCATTTGAATTTCAACTAATACGTTTTATTTTTTTGTATAACAGAAGATGACCAAAGCAAATAAGGGCAATAGAGAGAAGAAGACTCTTCTCCACCATTCAGGTTCCAGGCCATTCTCCTATAGGATGGAGGCGGGTAATAATAAAGTCATTTTTATTTAATTTTTAATATATCATTACTATTAATTTAATTTTTTCGTACTAACATTTTATCTTCTCTTGTTCAATTTAGGGGGGGTCCAAATTCCCAGAGATTGACGTCTTCAGTGACGTTTATGTTCGACCTGGGAATGAGTTGGCGGAGTCCCTTCATGTAAGTAGTCTTTAATTTTAATTATTATTTTATGCGTTCAAGTTTCATGGTTATTATATCAATGTTTTAATTAATATTTTATGTTATGTTAAACAGACGATCATGATGGAGAAGAGCCAGTTGGTTCTTCAGGAGTCCGCCTCCCAACTACCTCCCGATAAGTCGCTCGAGTCTGTGGCTCCTCCACCAGATGCAAGGTTTCAAATCTTGATGGAAACCTTGGATCAGACTCTCGGGAGACGGCCAGGGACATACTGTCGAGGGATGGGGAATGCCCGGCGGTGGGAACCTAGACCCCGTTCCTCATCGCAGTCAAGCAGTCAGGTGACTGCTTTGACAGCAAAGGTTTCCACCCTTGAAACCTAACTCGCCGAGTACAGTAGTCAGATGTCACAGATGTCACATATTTTGGCATTGATTATGCCCCTGTTGAAAATGTCCAAACCTTCAAGCCGCATTTACCAGACGATCAAGTTGATTTTGGAACAATTTTTTTTAAGTTTTTGTTTTCTTAATTAAATTTTAAATATTTCTCTTGTATTATACATTTATATTATTTTATAACTATTTATTTTCTCTTCATTACATTTTTTTATTGCAATTTTATTTTATTATCAAATAATCAACCAATTTTTTTTTTTTAGAATTTAACAAAAGAAACATAAAATTTAATTTTTTAAAAATATATTTTATTTTTGCGCGACGAAACGTTTATCGTCGCGCAAACTCACGTTTTTACAATATAAAAAACCGTAAAAACAAATTTTAAACAATATAATTTATGTTTGTGCGACGGAAGGGTTCGTCTCTCTAAATATGTTTGGGCGACGCAAATTATTCGTCGCCCTATGCACTCGCAACGCTTGTGCTTGCGTCGCGCAAAGAAAATGGCGACGAACAATTATGTCGTTCCTGAACTTTTGGTGCAACGAAGGATAACTGTCGATATTATTGCACGACGAATACAATTATTTCCGTCACGCAACGTCTGTTTTCACGATCTTTACGCGACGAAGTTTTTGTCGCACAACAATTTGTGCGACCCAATATTACTTTGCGCGACAATCTATTATTCGTCACGCAAACTGTAAAATGTAGTAGTGCAACTAAGCAAGTTACCTAATATAACTTAAAATCTGATTTATTGTATTTTTCGGATTCCAAAACTATCCCTATTCATAAGTTAATTTGTTATGGGGGTGTAACTAATCACACCCGTTGGATTGGAAATATCTCCAAATAGTTGTAATGTAGGAACTAATTTAGACACTTATTTGAAATTAAATATTAAATTCCACATTAAAGTATTAGTAATCTATTTTACGACTAGTAATCTATTTTTGTATTAATGGTGTTTTCCTTCTATGAATTACGATTAGTAATCTATTTAAAGTATTAATAATTTAAATTCAATATTAAATTTAGGAATTAATGTTGTTTTCTTTTTATGAATTATACAATCAGTATTCTTTTTTGTTATAGTTTTATGAATAATAGTGTACATTCTAATTATGTTGAAAAATAATTTATAATGATGGGTATATGTCTAGGAAATAGAAATTGTAGGTACCTATATTGGACAAGCCCTTTATTTTATCATGCTCTAGCTAGAATGACTTGTTGTTTGAGTTTCATTCAGATTTTCTCTACATCCAAACAGAAAAAGAAAACCACCCAAATTTATTCATTAACTAACTTATAGTATAACCCTATTATCATAGGGTCATTAAGAAATAGGTTACAATTCAAATACACCAGATTAACCCACCTATTTTATTTTCATGAATCATCACATGAGCCAGCAGCAAGGTGGGAGTTGAAGCATTAGATGCTGCATGAAGATGATGACCTAGGCAAAATGATGGCCTTGAGAGAGTTCTTCATCACAACAGTAAAAACAAAACTCTTAGTCGGGTCGGGTGGGGCATCCGGAACCGGCAACCATTTGAAAGCATGCACCATCCGAGCAAGCATCAAGCTCACATGCAAAGTGCCCATATTCCACGCTGGGCAGATCCTCCTTCCCGCTCCAAACGGCACCATCTTGACCCCTTTCGTCCCAGTGATGTCCACGTCAACCCCGTCCTCGTCCAAGAACCTCTCGGGTAGGAACTTACCCGGGTCATCCCACAAATCCGGATCCTCCGTAACCCATGCAAGGTAAAACTCAACAATTGCATCCGCCGGAATGGTGTAGCCACCCAGCTCAGTCTCCTTCACCACCGCGCGCGGTAAAGCGACGTGGAAGGGCGGGTGTCTGCGAAACGTTTCTTTCACCACCGTAGAAAGATAGCTCATCTTCTCCACGTCGCTTTCTGTGACAACAACTTCACCATATTTTCCCCCAACGCATTCCACAATCTCATTGTAGAGCTTTTGTTGCATCTCTTGATTCATCACCATATAAAGGAAAGCCCACTCTAACGCGGTAGCAGCAGTATCGGTGCCGGCAATGATGACTTCGGAGCAAAGCGTCACTAGCTCTTCCTCTCCCAGCCGGCCATCTCTTCTTCCAGGCACCTCCAGCTCAAACAAGGAGTCAATATACGCAGCACCCTTAGGGCTCACCATCATCATACAATCATGATCATCAGAACCATTAATACTTTGATCAAGAAATGCTTTTCTTTTTCTTACCAATGGAACCAAATACTCCATCTGCTTCCTCCTCAACTCCCTGGCTTCACTGTACTGCCCGCGAAACAAAAAAGGAGCGAGTGCCGGGAAGAACTCCGGCAGCATTCGTGTCGTCATGATCATAATCTCTTGTAGTAACAAGTTGTCGATCATTTTGATTTTTGGCTCGGATACTTCCGTCCCGAAACACAAGCATGTGAGAATAGTGCAGATGGTGAGCCTGCAGTTGCTCAAGACATGGACAACGTTGTTCGCCGCAACAGCCTCAGATTTGAGCCTGTCGAGATGAGACTGGATGGCCCAGTTCCTGATCCAACTACACTTCCTTATCCTTCCTGGGTTGATCACCTCAGTGACCAAGTTCCGGCGGAGGGTCCGCCAGAGAGGGTCGTACTCCGCAGTGTAGATGTCGCAATTGCTGAAGAGGAGGCGGCATGGGGAGATGCCAGGTCGGGTTGCGAACTCGGAGCCTCTCTGGACGAGGGCTTCGTGGATGAGGTTAGCGCTGGAGACAAATATGAGAGTGCGCTACCCCATCTACGTGCGGAAGATTGGACCGTATTTTGCACGTAAATCACGTGCTACAAACACCAAGTGTTGACGTTGGAGGATCACTTGGATTAGGTTTCCCACCACTGGCCACGCTGGCGGCCCCGGCAGCAGCTTCTTCCGTCCACCACTGCCACCGCTCACCCACCGGGAACCGCGCTGCCATAGCCGGAGAAACACAAGCCCCAGGCCCAACAAAAAGAGGTTCATCATCATCTCCATGTAGGCTACCACTAGCAACAAATTAAACAATAAGCAAAGAACAATTTAATCAGCTGATGATTAAAAATGTACATATAAAAATATATTGAAAGAATTAATAGAAGAAAATAATTTCCAAAATTAATGTTTAATTCATGACCATATTATATGCAAATGGAACCTTTGCTACCTAATTTTTTATTTATTTAAAATACCGCCGATATTGGAGAAGGGTAACAAAAAGAATGAACCGAATTGGCTTACTTATTTTCAGTATAATTCGCCTTCTACCTCAGCTGAGAAAAGAATCTAGCAACTTCTCTGTAGGCTAAAGAAATTGAAGAAAATATGAAACCCACCACAATCAAGAAACAGATGCATGCATGCATATAAATAAGAGCATGAAGTTGCAGGTGGGTACATCCATATGCTTTGTCTGAGTTCGCTCGACGAGCACATGCTCTAACATGAGAAGCCAGCATTACCTCTGCTTCCTTTTCATTTAATTCTATAGCAGGACTGGTCGGTGAGGCACTGAATTAATTCGGCGTCAATCTAACTCCTTGGTATTAATTTTCTGTTTTTTTTTTAAAAAAATATAAATAAAAATATCTGGCTTTAATCTTCATTTTCTTTTTTTCATGCCGTTATTGGTGATGGTCATAATCAGTAGTTCTAACAAGACAGTGAAAAATAAAAAATGGTAAAAAAATAAAATAAAATTATCCCATCATCATGTGTTTTTAAGGCTAACCAATATCTGTCGTATTCAGTATTAAAAATGGGCCAACACATGCACACAAAAAATGGGAACTTATTTGCAGCTAGTAATCTTACCAAAAATGGGAACTTATTCACAACCATGGGATCCAAGTCGTACGACCGACATTTATAAATCGTCTGAACTCTTGTTTTTCTCTCTCTAGTTGTGACACAGTAACACTAGTACCATAATAATCAAGTAATAATTATATGGACCAAAAGTCCCTTTTTTTTTCTTAAAAATAGAATAATATTGAACCCAAGAAGCCCCCAAGCACTTCTACAATTTGACTTCAATATCAATTCGACTGGCCAAAGACCAATAAATTCCCAAGCAATATTTGTTGTAGGTAAAGTATTATTGCTTCCAAATTGAACCATGTGAACAAAAATATAAACTGAAACTTCAACTCGTGAAATAGCTCCACTCAATGAGAATGAAAGTAGAAATGAGGTTGCCGAGCCTTGTAAGGGCTTGTAACCAGTGGCGGATGCAGGATTGTGACCTCACAGGGTCATAATGTAAAAAAGTCAAAAAATTTTGAGAAAAAAATAACACTAAAAAGATAGTACTTCCACATATAACAATCAACCAGATGTAATCAATCACTGTTGAATTGCATATTCAATACAAAAATAAAATTTAATTTACTAATGAAACCATGAGAAAGGAAAAAAAAAAAATCTTATTTCATTGTTACGAACGAACAAAACAATCAATGATGTAGTACACTATAATTATTGAGCCACGGATAAGCTAAATGGCCATTAAAAATGAAATAATCTTCCCCAGCCAAATTTTCTAAAAAATATCATAGCACAAGCCATTAAATGTGAATTCTCAAGAAGACAAAGGAAATATACATGTGGTGCCAAAACAATTTCTACATAACAGGAACTCAAAAGTTAAGAGCAAGACATCGAAGAATTGAGGAAATCCCAAAAACGAGCTGAAAACGTCCAATACCCATTTGATCATGGTACTTTACTTTTTTCCCATCACTTTTGTATTGATGAAAATGCATTGCTACTTGACTTGAAGTCAAACACACATATGTTTATCGCTCAACCATTTGATTTGATCATGCCTGTTCATAAATAGATAGCTCTCCAGCTTTAACTTCCATAGATGATTCTTTAGCTAAAGAGTGCACACAAAACATATCAAAACATTATGGGGAACGTATCGATTGGCATGCTCTTGAAACTAGTAATAGTTATGCTGCTGTTTCATCTTGTGGTTGCCAACTTTGTAGACCCTTTGCATACACAATGTTTGTCGGGTTCGGGGGAATACGCTGGGTACTTTAATTATCTAGCCCAAAACAATGTTATTTTGCCCGAGTTGTTTAAAAAAAATAAAAAAGACAGCTGCACTGTGCTTAGCACAGCGCCTTCTCTTTCAGCAATTTCATCGAGCACCTGGTGTGCAGCTCCAAGAGGTCGCTCCAGCAGCTCCAAGGGACCTCCAAGCCTATTTCCATGGCTTCCAAGAGGTTGTGCGACCCTGATGACATCACTGTGGCTCTGCCACTGCTTGTAACTAAGCAGGGTATTAAAGTGATTGCTTTGTGATGGACTTTAAGCTAGATGGGCAAGATTGGTCTAGTCAAATCTATGCTATGTAGCATGTGAGTTTGCATTAAGCATGCCCTATCCCCTCGGGTTAGTAAGGGGCCCCATACACTACGAGTGGGAAAAAAAAAAATTGTAGAAATGATGTCTTACACCCTACAGACTAGTTAATGTTTGAGAAAGCATCATGCATGTCCCTAAAGATTCAGCACCAAGTTTAAATATTTTCGAAGTTTCTGAAGGGGGATTTCTCACCTAAAACATTCTGCGTGAAAAGAACTAGACTGGCTAGAAGTTCCTAGAAATAAACTTAAAAAGTGAAGAAAATAATAATTCAAATTTGTACTATCGCATTAAAGCATTAAACTTGTGAGAACAAGAAGAAATTTTTTTTGAAAATTAGGGTGAGGATCATACACTCCCATTCCAATAGCCACGAGAAAAACTGGAGGCTTAACCATCAACAGCAGTGACCTCGACCTACTAACTTGTATCCATGGCACCTGAATAACCATCAGATGTTTAAAAGTTTACAACATCTGCAATTTAAAACTTAAGAGAAACAAAGATGTCCTACAAGAACCAAAGACAACACACATTTCCCAAAATAAATTTAAGTGTCAGCTAGGATCTGTACATTTTATTATTTGAACTGGCCTGGGGCAACATGTCAACTTCCACATTCTGAAGAAATGAGAACATTGTGATGTGACACGAGAGTTTAACATTTTTTTTTCCATTTAAACATAATGATCGTATCACCAGAACATCATAAATAAATTAATGAAACATGGGAATGAACTACATATCAAATCAGCAATGAATAAACAGCATGCAGTATAATATACTTTGAAACCATAACCACCACCAGAACATTTTTATTTTTTGACAAGTAAATTTCATTCCCAAAAATCAATCATTACAAAACCAAAAGCTCAGTACAAAATAGACCATAACAGCAACCAAACATATACAATTACAGTCTCAGGTTGTTCAAAAACTTCATAAAAAAATGAAAAGGTTCCCCATTATCTAAAAGGACAGGATACACAAGATAGAATGCTTGAGGACCCCAATTGGGGCCTACGCATCCTTTAAGCATCTGTTGCTTTCCTTCCATATGCATCCACAATGAAGCAATCAGCCAACACTCATGAAAGCCCTGCTAACTCTAAACCCCTCAAAAGCCCATAACAAATCCACTACTTGACATGTTTCCCAGTTATGCAGATATTTGAGAAAGGGAATGTTCCAAACCATATCTTGCCGAAAAGACTGAAACTCAAAAATCACGACAAATTTGCTTTTATGCAATATTGAAAAGTATGCGGGGAAGACATCTGCCATGGATGATCCCCGCACCAGACATCTGACAAAAGGCGAACCAGGCCACCATCCCCGCACCTAGACCTAATGAGTTTGTAAACTCTGTAAGAAGCATCTGAACCTTTCGCGATACCTTCTCAACACCTATCCTAAAACATTTGCACATTGTGCATCTTTGCTGGGTACCATCCCCTGACCCAACAACAAATAAGTGGGAAAGCATCAGTCTGATCTAAGCTCTTCTTTATTTGAGTTTTTTGATGCCAAATACCTGAAGATCCCAGTTTCCTTAAAATGGACTTATACTTAAACTTCAGAAGACCCGGGAGAGAGAAACTTTACTCTGCAAGAATGATAATTATATAAAACACAAATTTCATTGAAACCAGAAGAATAGTGCCCAAGAATACGTTGAACTGATAAACCACAACATTGCACCAATGGGCTACATATCCAAACAACCTACACAGTCATAAATGCCTTGTACATAAACTAACAAATATCATGGTGAAGTGGAAAGTAAAATAGTACGACAGAATAACCAAAATTAAAAAGTAAACAGAAAAATATAAACCAGGACATTGGTCTTACTAAACTGAGGAAGACTGCACTGATCTTAGAAAAAAGCTTACGGTTTTGATCAACAAAGTCTGCAACACCTGTAATGGACATTTAATGAGGACTGACTAACAAAAGATAAAGTGTTCAGACATTAGAAAATTGACTAAAATACTGATCTTCTTAAAGTTTAGCATGGATGTCAGAATTCATCCTGTTAATCAAATTACGGTTTCTATACAAGATCAAGCCTAAAATAAGAGGTTATTCCAACCCAATGTCATTCTACATTCATATGAGGGTTAGCTTTGTAACTATTTCAATCAGAAGGACCTATAGTCTCAAGAGTGTTTCTGGTATGTTCGAGGCTAAGCTTTGAAGGTGAGAGAACCATTAAAATTTCTAATGGGTGTGGACAGATATCCCTCATTCCAACGCTGAAAATTCCTGTCCATTTCACCAGTGGATGAAGGCCTTAGGCTTGACAATGTAAAATGGTAAGTTTCTCACTGATTCTTAACCTATTGCAAAGTGTGCAAGTTTTTTATACAATCAAATCAAGATTTTGAAATTTTAAGAAATGTGTAGTGAATCATGAGTAGAACTGTAGTTTCTCAAGAATAGGATAAGAAACAGTAGTTTGTGATTTAGGAAGTGGAAGTTTGGGAGTTTTAAAATTGTAACGTTCAGTTACGTTTTCGGAGAATGTTTCTGAGTATATTTTCTGAGAAAGAAAATGAGAAAACGAATTTGCATTTTCAGGATTCGAAAATGTGTCTGGTAGATTAATTGGAAAATAG